ATCAAATCAACAATAAACAGCCGATCATTCTGCCAGTTTGTTGCATTTTACTTTAAATTCAAGTCATCCTCAAAAATATAAAGAGGTTTTTTTGTTTTTTTCTCTCTCTGCCTGGGTTGTAGGAGGTATTTCGGGGAGAAAATCGGCCTGTACTTCGCCTGGCTGGGCTGGTACACGGGGATGCTGTTTCCTGCAGCGCTGGTGGGTCTGTTCGTATTCCTGTACGGTATTTTCACGCTGGAGCACTGCCAGGTCAGGTAAACACAACCCCTTTTTAGTGTTTTTTTTTTTTTTTATAAATCCATGTGTTCATATACGGATGACAAAAAAAAAAAAAAACACAAAAACATAGAAATAGCTCAGTAAATAAAGGGAGATGGTAATTGGTATCACTGGAATAAACCAAAAATCAGTTATGCAATTGAGCAATAAAAAAATCGATCACTGCTTCGTTAAAATTCTATTTATTTACACTATTTTTTTTATTTACATGATTAGTTTAATAATACAATATTAATTTACTGATAGATCAAGGATGGATTCTTTCTTTTTCAACCCCTAATTTGCCTAATTCATATTTTTTATTATCATACTGTCTTTTTTTATTTATTAATTTCTTGTTGGATAAATTATTCTACATTATTCAGTTTTGAGTTTATCCGTCTATTAATTTGCCAAATAACTTACTGTATATTGTCATGTTTTCCTCCTACACTCCTGCTTCTAGATTTAAATTCCTGCATGTATTTTTTAGTTTATTTTGAAAATGAGCGTTATAAATAATGAAATGATGGGTTATTTATTCAAATATAAAATGACATTGAACTTGAAAATGGCATTAGAAATTTACATTTATTTGACATTATATAGTTCACTAGAAGTTTTGTTCACATTCTGTTTTGTTTGTCATATTTTTGTCTTTGGCGTATTTGTGGCAGAGTTTGGATAATCATCATCAGTCTCTGGATTAATAATAGCTGAATGCTGAAATGCTAACAGAAGGTCCTAACGTTAACAATGTAGCAGGATGTTCCGTATGTGCAGCACAGACAATCACTTTAATGTAACTTTTTTTATTGCACAACAAATTTTTCCTCGCAGACAAGGCAACAAAGTGTGAAATTGACCTTTACAACTGATTAAATCAGATGCTGTTTAACAAAGAACATTAAACTTTTGCAGGACTTGTTTGGATACAGCATCACAAACTTTATAATCATGTGTGTTTTTCCGATGTTTCCCCTCTTTGGGCTCTACCGAGTTGCCATTCTGGGTCTTCCTGGCCCGAGGGTATTGGGTTAAATATCGTTTGTTGTTCCATCAGCAAAGAAATCTGCCAGGCCACTGACATCATCATGTGTCCCATCTGTGACCAATACTGCCCCTACCTGAGACTGTCCGACAGCTGCATCTACGCCAAGGTAAAAGCCGAAATTTTTGTTTTTGTTTGAAATTAGGAATTGCACCACAAAAAATATCTATTTACTTTGAACTGTCTTCTTTTCGTTTTAAGGTCACCCATTTCTTTGACAATGGGGCAACTGTTTTCTTTGCTGTATTCATGGCAGTTTGGGGTAAGTCCACTACCAATAAGTCTTTTTATTAAGCAAGTTTGACCTGTCTTTCTATGAACTATTACATTGCCGAAATGTTTTTGTTCATTTTTAAAATTGCATTAACGGTCTGGTTTGGAAAATTTGTAGCAGAGTACCTTTTCCTCTTTCGTTCCAGGCATGTAGGAGAAACTTAGGTGGATGTAAAAAAACTCAAAAGGGATGCTTGCCCTTTCTGTGCTATTGTTGAAATATGACAATTCAACATATTGGACTCCTTGTAGATGAAATATTGTTGTTTTATATTAGATGATGTGTTACTGTAGTTATATGTACCTATGTGTCCAAAATAGGGTTAATTAGAAGAAATGTTTTGTATGGGGGAATATGTTTAAGTGACTCAGCACCATCCTTTTTTTCTATAAATGAGTGTATCTAACACTGTGTTTTAACATACTCACCAAAAACAATACTTGAAATGTATGGATTATGTGTTTTGAGCCAATGGAAATATGTAGCTGTACTATTTGTAGGACTTTATAGTGATACTGTGGTGTTCTGTTGTGTGGACATCTGCACCTTTTTCCTACTCTGTTGTGAGACTTTGCTGTCTGTTAATGTAAAAGGCTCCTGCTAAGTGATGCTAATGGGTTTTTTCTTTTCTTATTTCAATGCAATTTAAGTGCAAAGATGATTATCGTACATTGTGTGACTGTCGGAAGTTAATGTTACACATGGGAATATAAAAGATTTTTCTTTTCCCTTTTTAATTTTGCCTACAATACAAACACAAAATCGATGCTAACAACTGCCTTTTGGGTAAAAACACCCCCATTAATTGGTCATGCCTCTGTTTACTTGGTCACTCCAGTAAACACATACCTCGCTTTTGTATTTTCATTACGCTTCGAGTCATCTTGTACGTGCGAACATGTTGTTCTAAATACTAAATGTCATTTAAGTTGTATAAAAGTATAGTTGAAAATATAAGGAAACGGTCAGTTCTGAACAAGGTCCCAGTGTATAAAAGGGGCATAATCTGTAGGTTTTTCATATTGTTCCTCCTCCGCAGACTTGGCAGGCATGAATGGAGCAGCGGAAGAGATGAGGTGTTTGGAAATGTCTGAGTGAAAGTATGGAAGCTCTGGAGAGACACAAAAGACAAGAAGAAATAAGTAACAGAAGCTTAAATGCTTCAATGAAAAAATGTACATACCACAGTGTTTACATTTTCCCTCTAATAGCCAAACCAAAGTACAGTGACCATTAGGAGGCACATATATATTATATGATACACTGTACTGTTATATAGGGTTTAACAGAAGGATATTTTTAATATATTGTCTCTTATTGACTAAGGTTTTCTCTGGGACTGGGTAATACAACAAGTTAGGAAACAAGGCAGTCCTGTTTTTTCTATTTTGTTTGTAACAGCCAAAGGTTTACATGCATTTTTGAGATTTTGTGTTTTAAAAAATATTAAACGCACAAGAAAATGCTCAAACTGGTCAAATGAAATATTAAAAGGAAAAGAAACTGGTCCCGCAGCCTTACACACTACAGGGTTAACCAGTCGCCAGATAAAAGTCCACGTCTTACATTACAAAATGGAGGCTAGTGTCTGCCGCAAACATAAATATGCTCAGAGTTGAGAGATTTATTGATGAGGCCGAATACTGGCTTTCAGCTGGAGGGGAGCTGGAGCCGCTTTTCTTTGAAAAACAGGCAAAAATCATGAGATTTGTCAGACATAACATTAAAGGCTTGCTGGTTCTATTGTTTGTCATTTCACTACACGATATTGGCCTTTTTTTCAAACGTATAATAGAAGTAAAATACATTGTACAGTTTTGAGAATATAGAATTCTAAAGTCATCAAGATTTTTCAATTTGTTGACTTTATTTGGGTTTATTTCTTAAATTAAAAAAAAAGGAAGCAATGCCGTTATAGTGCTCACCACTCAGTTTGCTAAAGGAATCTGGGTGTTTGAGGGCCTCCTGCACTCTGTTGTCGAACGTCCAACATCTCAGCATGAAGAGCAGAACTAAACCCAGCTGGAGGGCAAAGGTTAACACGCCCAGCACGATGACGGTGCTGTTAACTGTTGCGGGGGAAAGAGCGGAAAAAGAAGACGAAACATGTGAACGTAACACGTACAGTAAATGGACGAAATCCAGCATAGAGAAATGAGACGTGATATTTGATTGCTGCGGCTTGTGCTTGATAATGAAAGCAAAGCAGGGCCCTTCCTCAATAATTCACCCGCTCTTTTATAGTCAAGACATTGTCCTGATCACAGACGAAATCCTATCTGCAACTTATCTCTAAATATTTTATGCGGAGCCGCCGCCAGAGTAGTGTGGAACACAAATCAAGACAGGGTTTTTTACTTATTACAATGCCAAGCCATATCACAAGGTAGACGGTCTGTACATTAAATATACATAATATTAAGCTAATAATAGGCATAAGAAGGAAAAATCTGCTTTACCGGCTAATGGTAGCTGAGGTGTTGACTCCCAGTAGGTAACCTCTGGATGATCGATGCCCAACGTCAGGTTCTGGTTCGGAATTAACCCCATTGTGTCCCCCCTCTTAGCTCCAGCAGACTCCCTGTATTTTCAAAGACAGGCATTTGCATGTTTACGCATAGACAAAACCAGATTTTCTTTTGGTTAAAAGAAGCTTGATTTCAACAAAAGCTTGAAATGACCGGCTTTGGCAAAGTAGGTGGTATGGAAATGTGTCGTCAAAGTATAACAAGCCAGTCAGTTATAGTGTAAAGTATATTGGTAAATATGTTAATGAGAGGGACGGGAGGTCCACAGGTTGATATTTGCATTCATTAGAATGTGTCAAACACAACAAAGCGACATACTAACAGTATTAAGAAAAAAAACACTGTTGCTCAAAGTAAATGTACAGATTAATCTCCTAGCTGATTAGATTATGGAACTTTGGACAAGCCTGTGTTATAACTTTCAAATCTTACTGTGGCACAAAGATTCTCTTGGAAGAGTAGCATATTAAACAGGTTTTTAATCAGCTATAGATATGCTGAAACGGCTTAAAAAGCACTAAGAACCTTTCAAAGATTAAAAGCCAGTGTAAGATCCAAGAAACTGAAAGAAAGTATCTATGGCAGAGTGATTAAAAAAACTGATTTTGCATAGAAAAAGCATCCTTCAAACGCATGCAGAGCCACTGTAATGAGTCTGTAACCCCTCGGAGACTACATCTGCTTTCACAGCTGCACATTTATGTCACAACCCAATCTTAACTCCGCAAATACATTTTTTGGAAAACAGCGTTTTTCGGTTCTCGCGAACAAAAGGTCAATGGAACTTTCGGTACTGACCTTACAGTTGCTGCTTTTCGGTGCTGCTGTCCCAGTGAATTTGTGTTTTTTTGGGGGGGATCACCGGCTGCACGGAATCCATTCAAATCCCTTCATTACGGTTTCCTCAGAAGTGGGCTCCCCTGCTGGCTCCCTGTGGAAAGCGGGGAGGCTGAGCCTTGGAACTCAAAACATCTTACTCTGCCGTGCGTTTTTACGGCCGTGTGGATATGACTGTAGATATTGAGGATAAAGGCCGCCGGGCTGCAGTTCTGAGCAAAAAAGGGGGGGAGAAGACAACCCTGTGTTCAATAAGTAAGCTATACACAGGACTTTGTTCGGCCGCCCTCTGGGCCTCAGCACCATGTCTCTGTGAACGAGCTCACTGTGTGGCAAAAGATGCACCGCAAACACAATCTGAATATTATGCAATCGCAGCACTTTGTGTCACTCAGTATCACAAGGTTGTTTCGGACTGAGCCAATCACAGACAATGGCCGCTTATCTGTAGGGAATTTAGACACATCTGAATACAATATCAAATCTGAAACTGTATCTTGTCGTTTTCCCGGTGTCTTTTTGTTCCATTAAAAACCCAACTTTTAAACTAACATCACATGTTTCAGCCCATTTAAATTCGCACTGAAATCTGGAAAGTTGTGCCCGTATTTGAAAATGTTTCAGTAACTTTTTGAGAGTTTCTCAATCAGCAGTGGAAATGACTGCAGATCAGAACTTTTTACACTCTCTAACATCTAAAGAGCACATTTCCATATATTTCTCTTGTTTTCCTCAGTCTTATTGCTTTGGTTAAAACTTACAACAGTTATTCACTGCTCTCTGAAAGTGCAACTATTAACTATTAACCCTTTCTTTTATTCTGAGCAGGGGGGGATGCATTTTGCTGTTGACATTTTACAGGAATTAGTTCAAGTTAAGATGAGGTTAACATGACAAAGAGGGAGCGAAAGTAAAGATTGGATTTACATTCAAGATAATAGGGAATATTGTCTTCAGATATACAATCAAATCCAAATAAAACATCACATTTTAATCAAATGTTTTGTTTTATTTGCGTGAATCTGAAATGATGTTTGGAAACTGAACCTGAAAGAACTTAATCCTGGTACTTTTTTTAGGGCTCTGGAGTCCAGAATCGCCAATGTGACGGCAGCTTTTTAAGAGAAATGTGGACCCTCGTGTGCAACCTCACAGTTGTTTCACTCATGTCTTCCAGCAACGGTCTTCCTGGAGTTCTGGAAAAGACGCAGAGCCGTCCTGGCATATGACTGGGACCTCATTGACTGGGAGGAAGAGGAGGTGAGGCTCTAATTGGACTTGTTATCTGTGTTTTTAATGATATAACTGACAGGATACATTTTGTGAAGATACTCAGGAACAAAAAGATAACACCCTACATATTTGTATTTAGAGTTCTTTATTTGCTGGTTGATTTAGATTAGTTGGTCCTGACCTTAAGATTTCACTATAAACACTGAGGCCATGGCAAAAAGGTCCTTCTCAAACTTATGTCATGACCTAATATGAGGAAATCAGTAAAGTTTCACTTTCTGTCAGATAGTTTGAGGTTTGCAGTGATTATGTTAGACTCCTGTGGCGACTCATGGCTGTCTGCCGGTCAAAGTGCTTTTTTTTATAAGCTTTTCTTTGTGGGTGTGAAACAGAGTCAGAGTCTCAGTCGCGAAAAAAGACAGGCCGTAAAGTATTTCAAATCTTGTTTTAACCCTTTACAATGGACAAAATGCTGCACACGTCATTCAGAGATGATCTATTGCTATCAGCTATGGTTCTAAGCACAAAGTGATCACATATATATTTCTTGTACCATATTATAAACCAACTAAAAAGGCCAAAAATGTCATATTTCGAGAGTTCGAAATGTTTTCTTTTCCCTTTTTGGCAGAAACACTTCACCTCTTTGTAAGCCATTCTTGTTGCCGGTTAGATTCTCATCGAGATTTTTCCCTTTTCTCTTTCAGGATGAAATACGTCCCCAGTTTGAGGCCAAATATTCCAAGAAGGAAAGAATGAATCCCATATCCGGAAAGCCTGAGCCTTACCAGGCCTTCACGGATAAATACAGTCGCCTGCTCGTTTCAGCTTCCGGGATATTTTTCATGGTCAGTTTCATTGTGTGTGACTAGGATCATGATTTCATGATTAGGAAACAATCCGTTAATAACATGATGTCAGAACTGAGTAATTACCAGTTAGTTAGTTAGTTT